TTAGAGATGTAAAGTCATTGCCAAGAATTAGAAAAACATTATTAATGCTCCCAGCTTCTTTCAGTCAACCACCAAAGTATTGTGTTTTATGGCAATGTTCTGATCCAGCTAAGTTGCAAAGAGACATTCAGTAGCAAGTAATTTCAAGAATGAAACTATTGTAGGACTTTAAAATATTCAAAAGATATGTATTCTAATAAGTCAATCATTAATGAGTTATTAATGAATTAGTGGTTTATTATGCATGAGAAAATTTGATAAGGAAATGTCTTTCCATGAATACATTAGATTTTGATTTTTATAATATTTTCAAGCTTCTATTAGGATTTGAATTTTTGTAGTAAAAAAATTTACCACAGTACAAAATTTTTGGAAGTCTTCAAATGGGGGAAGAAAGGTGTGTTACTAAAAAGAAGACACAATTTTCCAATAAGATATTTGAACTCTGAGTTAGAAGGGATCTTAGAAGTCTCTAGTTTAATAGTTCTCAAACCTGGAACTATGCTGGAATTGCCTGGGGAGCTGTTTAAAAATACATCCTCCACAAAGATTTGATTCAATAAGCCTGAGAGAAGTCCTGAAATCCATCCTTTCAAACAAGCATCCTGAGGATCCTGAACTGCAAGTTCAGGAACCACAGATCCAGTCCACCCCTCAAGCCATACAAGTACCCCCTCTATTAAGACTATAAACAAAAAGTTTTTGCTTCTGCTTAAGCATCTCCAGGGATGAGGACATCATTACTTTAATAGGCAGATTTTGGAGTAGCTCATTGGGTTCTTACTAATAAACAGATGACTCTAATAGGATATACCACTAATCTAGGCTAATCTTGGAACTGGGGCTCTATCAGTTCATAATGTTTTTCTGCATATTCAGTGTTGATAGAAATATCTGTATATACAGAGTGGTTTAGACTACCACCACTAGTATCAAGGATCTAATTTTTCCACATTGTAGCCAACAGTTGTGTATTCATCAAATCTTTTACTTTTGCAAATCCGAAAGGCATATCAGGGAACTAGGCCTACCTACATATGAATAGAGATACTCCATACCAGTACCAAAAAGAAAAACAATTATAATTCTTAATTGTCAGTTACCACAGTCTATTAATAGTAATTTCACAAAGTACAAACTTCATTGCTAGTTCTTTGCTCCACAAATGACTAAGTAAATAACAGATGTGCATAATGGTCACTGACCAATCATGTCACTTCTTTCAAAGTCTGTCAATGATTGCCACTGAGCAATCTATATTCAATTCACACAAAGACAGCAAGGTGTGTGGTTGTGTTGCCTGCTGTCTTCCACTGATAAACTCATGTGACGTTTTACAAAAAACGGAGTCAGAATAGGGAATTGGCCAACAAAAATAAAAGTGCAGCAAAGAAACAAAAAATTGATAATGCTAGGAATGACATTAATCAAATGTAAATTTTGTTATAGAAGAAATAGCTGACCATGGGAATGTTGACACTGCCGGCATTCAAGAGACTCTAGATACACAGAAAGAGGAATTTAGAGAAGGCAATCTTATAGACATGAATGAGGAAAACGGTTGCGAAAAAAGGATGAATATGTCCCAGATGAAGTAACGTCAACAAAAATTTCACATTGAAGACAATCTCAGAAATATTTCACAGCATTGAAAGCACAAAGGATCAAGTGTTTGAAGTAAATCCAAATTTAGAACATTACAATTCACCAAGGCACAGAAAATGTTCACTCCATATTGTACGTTATAAGGCAAGCACTGTTCAAACTACTATTGATGAGTATTTTCACAAAGAAAGAGAGTAACTTCCATGTTTCTAACGTTCTAGATGACACATACTAAGGTTTATTTTTTACTTTTCCCTTTACATTTATATCCTATATTAAGAGAGTCTGAACGTCTTGCCCCCCCATAAAAGGTGACGAAACAATCTTTCTCATCGATTATTGCTATAGATTAAATGGTGTCTCCCCAGAAACGTGTTGAAATCGTAACCCCGGTACCTATACTTGTAAATATGACTGCAAATAGCGATTTTTCTTGTTATATTAATGAAGTTGTATCCATGTAGGGTGTATCCTAAACCTAATCACTTCTGAGTTATAAAAACATCAGAATAGACACAGACACACACAGTGGGAAGAGGAAGACAGATGGAGATAGATGCCATCATCCTACAAACCCTGAATGCCAAGGATGGCTGGCAGCTACTAGAAGCTTAAATAGACAAGGACGGAACTCCCCCTAGGGCCATGCCCTGAATGTGGACTTCTGGTCTCCTGAACTGTGAGAAAATAAATGTCTGTTCGTTAAAGTCACCCATTTGGGGTATTTCTGTTACAGTAGCACTAGGTAACTAAGACAGTTAGTAAGATTGTTCTACATGTGTTCAGCTTGCATGGTCAAGTTTTTTGGTCTCACACTACTGTGTAAGGTGAGGCCTGTCAGGTATTTAAATGTTTTCTTAGATGCTGAGGCAACCATTAAAGAGATTTAAGAAACACACTAATTAGATCCTGATTCAAACAAACAAGCAGTAAAAGCATTTAAATAAAAGTGAGTAGTACTAGATATTTAATAATTATAAATTGTTATTTTTTTTTGGAAACTCTGGTGGCATACTGGTTAAGTGCTACGGCTGCTAACCAAAAGACTGGCAGTTTGAATCCACCAGGCGCTCCTTGGAAACTCTACAGGGCAGTTCTACTCTGTCCTATAGGGTCACTATGAGTAGGAATCGACTCAGTGGCAATGGGTTTTAGTTCATTATTAGCAATATTCTAAGTTCCTGCAGGGGCTTTGTTCCCAAGTAGTTATTCTAAAATGTTTGAGGATTAAATAGCAGCTGCCCAAACTTTAAACACTGTACTTTGTTTTACAGGTTCTCAAAGTATTGCCTATAATTTAAATCCAACTCCTTCACCTGAGTGTGAAAAAAATACAACTGCTGATCTACCAGCCATTTTGGTACACACTGACTAAGATTCAACTGTAGGAAAGGAAAAAAGCTGTTCTTTCAATCTTAATTCACTGAGGCAGATTTTTCACAATTATTTGGGATAAGTAGCTTCAATGCTTTCAAGGAGTTAAGATCCCCTCTTGACCAGTTCTCAGGATATTGACTATATTTCGAAGACTTCTGTATTATTTCTGAAAGGGGAACAAGACAACACATAGCACTTAGATCATTGAAACAAGCTTGTAGGCCTCTCTGCGGGCTGCACATTACAAGGCACTGCTGCTAACCAACAAGTTGGCAATTGGAATCCACCAGCTACTCCTTGGAAACCCTTTGGGGGCAGTTCTACGCTGTCCTATAGGGTTGCTATGGTGAGTTGGAGTAGTCAACAGCAACAGGTTTACGGTTTTTTACAATGTAGATGGCTAGGCGACAGGTCTATAGGCTCCTCACATGGCCTTTGATTAAAAATGGAAATTCCTTCCCTTCCCAAGCTCTTCTTGTTAAACTAAGACCAGCTTCTCCCTAACAGGGGAGTGCGTTATTGCCGGCCTCAAAAAGTTAACTAGATCCACGTTGTGTAAATCTTCCCAGTTTATTTTTACTCCAGACTAAATCAGCCAGTTTTCATTGAACAATTACAATTAAACCTTATATACTCTTTACTGTTTCCCCAACCTAACTAGTTTGTTTTTTAAAAGCTGCTAATCCAGGTTAATATCTTGAATTACAAAAGGTTAACCTGAAATTTAATGTAGCTCAAGTCTGCATTTTAAAAATACTTGGATTGCTTGTTTTGGGTTCAGCCAACTTGGCATAGCTCATTCCAGATTCAGTTCCATTCAAACGAAATCTGCTGAAAGGAAAAAAAAAAATCAAGACTTTGATGTTGGGCACGGGAGGGGTTAGGATTCTAATGTTTGGCCAATTGTGTGGCTGGATGATGGATCATGGGTCAAAATAGAGAAAAGACAACAGTTTCTGGGAAAACTATTTCATTTAGACAGATCAACGTTATTTCCTTGTGTGAGGTATAAGTGTCTAGTATAAGTTAGACGGGAGAAATCTGAGCGGAAGGTCAACTTGAATACAGAGGCTAACTGAAGCCATGGGAGTGAAAAAAGATAGCTAAATAAAGGCCTAGTCCAAAACCCAGAGTGAAGGTATAAACTACTCCATGACTGTAAACTGTATTTAAGAGAAACCAAACCCTTTACTGTCAATTCCAACTCAGGAGACCCCATGTTACAGTAGAACCAAGCTCCAAAGGGTTTTCTTGGCTGTCTCTATAGAAGCAGCTCACCAGGCCTTTCTCCTACAGTGCTGCTAAGTTCTCATCTTTCAGTTAGTAGTTGAGTGTTAACCATGCCACCCAGGGACCTTGTAATCCTATTTAATAGAGTAGTAAATGTAGGAGAATTTTCAGAAATACTCATTTCTGGAAATTTTCTCTATGGAAAATTAGTCACATTGATATTTTAGCAAGGATGTCCATCACAAATTTTAACAAAAACCTGAAAACCAGATGGACCTTCAAGTCTGGTGAGCCCGTTTAAAACCTCACCTATACCATTAACTCTGGGCAAGTTAAACTTTCAATCTGCTCAATGGCAACAGTACGCACATCACAGCATTCAATAAATTAGTCTGTGTAACACCAATGCAGAATCTAGCAGTTAAACCATAAACATTGTCCATTACTATGCCAATGAAGGTCTGGCTAAATTGTGGCCTATGTTTTGTAGATAGAAATTTAATAGTTTCATACTGATGCAAAGAGCTATCCACGCATAATGTGAAAAATTACAGAAAGGCTCAAATTTCCACAACATTTTCAATGGTACCAAGTTTAGTCTTCAGCCTAATGTATTTAAAACAGGAGGAAAGATCTATAGCTATGACTTCCTATGTTAGTACTCACTAGGTTCGAACGCAGCTGTACATTTTAGTATTACCACAGAAATCGTTTACAAGGCGTGTAGTACCCAGACATCAATCACACCTTCCTAAATCTGTTGGTATTCTGAGTAAAAGTCAACAAAATTTACCAACTGATAATAAGTTTATTAAAATAGTTGATTTAGGCATCAGCAATGGTGACTTCAACCTCTACCCCAGGCTCAATACTGATGGAAGTGATCTGCTTAACGATCTCAGAAGGACTGTGCAAGTCAATGAGTCGCTTGTGGATTCTCATCTGGAAACGATCCCAGGTCTTAGAACCTTCGCCACAAGGAGTTTTCCTCGTAGTGATTCTCAGAGTCTGCAGCAAAAGACAAAACCAACCATTTATAGTTTTATGCTTATATTTAGAAAATCTGCAAAACCATTACTTTCAAATCCTCAAATATACCATCACTCATCTTTACATAGAGGTTTTCAGATACTGCCAATTTAAAAGTTAATTCCATGTTTCATCCCCCTCCACCAGCTTGTGTTAACCATAGTCACCTCTAAACAACAGGTGTGTTATGAACCAAATTCTGCCAGCAATTTTTATATTAGTACCAGCATATATAATTGCTCTGAAAGTCAAACCCCTTATCTGAAGTGAAGGGGTAACAACTGCGATTTATACAACAACCGGAAGCAACCCCTGCTCCCTGACCCTATGGTCCATTTTACCTTGGTAGGCATCCTAACCGGCCCCTTCACTTTGAGGTTCTTCTCCTTTGCGCCTCTAATCAAGTCAGCACACACTACACGAAAAGAAAATTTACCTTTCAGTTCATTCAGCACAATTAAAACAGGCTTTTAAAAATTCAGTTGACGCTGGCTCAGAATAGCGTATACAACCATCACCATAATTCAACACTTAGGTCTCTCCTCATTGCCAGCTCCACCCTTAACAGAGCTGTGATGTAAAAGGTAGGGTAAGAACTCAAGGAAGTGACTTGTCGCTTTACTTCTCTTTGAAGTCAACTTTCTACAATAGCAACAAGTCAGATTCACTACTACCTCGCCCGCAAACTACTGTACTGACCCTTCTCCAGGGATTTTACGTTGCGGCTGGTTAGAGTAATTCTAATCCGGTGAATGGCCACCTCTGGTTCCACGGGTGTCTTTCCGGTGTCCTTAAAAGCCTGTCGATTACACAGATGAGAAAACATTGGAGCAAATAAAGTATCAATTATGGAGCCAAGTTCATTAACTTCCTCAGGTTCCTCCATTACTGTAAGAAATTCTCTACCCGAATTTTTTCTTATATCGTGGTAATAGAACATTTGATCATTAAAACCCCTTTGCTGTATAAATGACCTCCGTTTTCTCAGCCCCCGCCCCCAGAACAAGCAACCCCGGGGCTGTGGCCCGCGGGACGGCGACAGAACGCAGGCCGCTGGCGCCCCAACCCGCGCGGCACCATCTCCGTTCTCACCATGGCTGCGGCGCTGCTTCCTGACCGACTTGTTCCTCGGCGAGAGCGAACAGCGGTGAGTCAGGAGCAGGAGGGCGAGGGCAAGCCACCCCTCTACCACTACCGCGTCTTCTTCAAAAAGAGGGAAACACAGCGTGCGCGGAGCTTATATAGCTTCGCTGGCGTCTCCATCCGGGTCCCGCACGCCCCTCCAGCGCTGCCCCGGAAGAGGAACCGCCCCGCCTCTCTAGAAGTGGCCGCGGAGGCTGGATCTGGAGGACCCGCCCAATCGGCCGGAAAGGCGCCGCCGCGGTCCACCTTGTTCCGGTCAGCCTAGCCGCTGCCTTTCTCTGACCACCTGGCAGAGGTGACAGGCGACACTGAGCCTGGCCCCTAACGGAGGAAATCCCTCTGCCTGTGCGTTTGCTTCCCAGCGCCCGTAAAGTTCAAAAGACCATGTAATTTTTGCTTCCATACAATCAGTGGTTTTCTGAGCAAGTGGGAACTTCTGTAAGTGGAACGCACACCTATGGGTGTTAGAAAAAATGTCTGTGATTATTTGGGAATGTTATTTTAAAATTTGTAGACAGTTATTTTTCATAGCCCATCGTGATACTTCAGCTTCTGGCTGACTTCCGTTTTTTACCACCAGTTGCTGTCAATGGACTCTGACTCGTGGCAACCCCATGTGTGTCAGAGTAGAACTCGGCTCCCTAGGGTTGTCAGTGGCTGATTTTTTGAAAGTGGATCATCAGGCCTTTCTTCCAAGGTGCCTCTGGGTGGTCTAAAACCTCCAGCCTTTTGGTTAGCAGGCAAGTGTGTTGACTGCTTACACCACCCAGGAACTCCCAAAATAATATTATGCAAATTTAATGAAAAGCGTTACTAATTTTAAAGTTTGTTTCAGTTTTAAACATTTTGTTACATTTTCTCTTGAAAAGTTAGGTTTGAAGCCCCTAAATATCTAACGAAAGTGTAATCTTCTGATTTTAGATCCAAGATGTTAATTGGAGAAAATGTGGAATTAAACAATAAGCAGAAAAGAAGAAAATAATTCCGTCATTTGGAGATAACTACTGTTCACACCTTCAGTTATTCATATATTTCTTTAAAAAATGGGATGATACCCTACACACTGTTTGGTAACCTGCTTTAGTCACAGAATATTTTGTCACAATGAATGTACTTCTGTAATCACCCTTTTAATGACCGCATAATCATGAATCATACAGATGGTCTATTCATAATTTATTAAGCCAGTCCTCTATTTTTAGAGTTTTAGATTTGTTTTCCTATTTTTCGCTCTTATTAGAAAAATATCATGATGTACATGCTTGTATATTAGGGTTTCTCAATCTCAGCACTACTGACATTGTGGTCTGGATAATTCTACCTTGTGAGGGCTGCCCTGTGCATTGTAGGATATTGAACAGCATCCTTGTTCTCTACCAACTAAATGCCAGTGGTAACTCCTCCACTCCCCAACTGTGACAACCAAAAATGTCTCCAGACATTGTCATATGTTCCCTGTGAGGCAAAATCACCCCTGACTGAGAACTAGTGTAAATGAACTTTATAGCACGTCTTCAATATGGTAGGTAAGTTCCTAAATATGCCCATTCTTTGATGGCCTAATTAAGAATGAGCATATTTTAAATACTTTGGTATGTCCAGGGAAGTTGCCCTCTGGGAAGGTTGTATCCAAATAGATACCTCCTCCAGCTGTGTAAGGCGGACTTAGTGTGAAAAAAGTAGAAGTAAGAAACCTTTTCATTTTAAAGTTTAAAAATATTCTTAAGACCCTTACAAAATTTGTGTTTTTGATATCTCTACCTATCTCCTTTCTCTACTGATTTCTGTAGTTCTTTTAAACTTACCTTGTAAGAACTCTCATTCCAGGTATCTGTTGGTTCTGTGGACAGCCATCTACTGGTCTTCTGCTGCAATGACAGTTTCATCCTTCTGCAGGGTTAAAAGCTGCTTAGACCCCTGGTGGCGCCGTAGTTAAGCAGTAGCAGCTGTGACACCTGTGAAGGCTGTATCATTGCCAGTGAGGCACCCTAGGTATTTTAAGTGGCTCACCTCCCCTTTTCGGCCAAGAAAAAATAATTGCTGTGCTAGTGCAAAAAAGTAAGAGAAGCCCTGGTGGTGCAGTGGTTAAAGCGTTGGGCCACTAACCAAAAGGTCAGTGGTTCAAACCCACCAGCTGCTCCAAGGGAAAAAGATGTGGCAGTCTGCTTCTGTAAAGATCACAGACTTGGAAATCCTATGGGAAGTTCTCCTCTGTTCTGTAGGGTGGCTATGAGTTGGAATTGACTCGATAGCAGTGAGTTTGGTTTTTTTGGTTTCGAAAAACTACTTAATTCATGGTACCAATATGTATGTTTATGAATGACATAATAAATGTAAACTGTAAAATGAATATAGATGAGTATGTTTAGACAATTTTTGCAGTATTTATTTTTTATCTAAGCGAAATTTTTTGTTAAACCTCTTCAGTCTGAAATTTAAGAATGAAATTGGAAAGAGTTCTAAACCTTCTCTTCTGATTATCCATGTTGGTAAGGAGTGTACTGTGGAGGCAATTACTTGAAGTTTCTTAGGATTGCATGTAAGTGCTTAGAACAGTACTTGGCATACTTCAGTAGTGTCCGAAGTCCTCTACATTTATTGATATCAATTCATTTGATCCTCACATCAACTCTAGGAAATAAATACTGTTATTCGTATTTTACATATGAGGAAGCTGAGACATAGAGAGGGTAGGTAACTTGCCCAGGATCGCAGAAAGAGCCAGGATTTGAACCCATACAGTCTGACTCTAGAGTCTACGTTCTTGCCCACTATGCTAGATTATCTCTCAGTATATGTTAGCTTTTATCTTTATCATGAGTTATAACACTATATCCAAGTAGATGTAAAATCCTATTATTTTAAATACCATGACATAGAAGGGCTTTATATATTTCATTTTTAGTTGAGGTTACAAATATTATTGAGCTACTGTTATGTGTTCGAGGCAGCCCTAGTGGTGCAGTGGTTAAGAGCTGCAGCTGCTAACTAAAAGGTTGGTAGTTCAAATCCAGCTGCTCCGTGGAAACCGTATGGGGCAGTTCTACTCCATTCTGTAGGGTTGCTGTGAGTCAGAATCAACTCGACAGCAGCAGGTTTTTTGGTTTTATTATTTGTCTAGAGTCCCTGGGTGGTGCAAATGGTTGACGTGATTGGCTGCTATCCGAAAGACAGGAGGTTGGAGTCCACTCAGAGGCTCCACAGAAGAAAGGCCTGGTGATCTACTTCTGAAAGGTCATAGCCATTGAAAAGCCTGTGGAACACAGTTCTACTCTGACACACATGAGGTCACCATTAGTTGGAGTCATTCAATGGCAACTGTTATTATTATTATTTGTCTACTATAAGATATGATCCCTATTTTTTCTTTTTTTAAACTCTTTCTTTAGTTTGAAGTTCCAGTAGTGTTACTAGGATTGGTGTCACCCTTAACTCATGGTGTCACCCCCACAACCTTGTAGCTAAAACACCAGAAAATTTGACAAAATCAGCAACTATAAAAACACTAGCAGCAACGAAAACAACAGTGCATGCCAGGCTTGTAGCACGTGCAGATGAAACCACATGATTGGAAGGGTCACTGTAATTGGATAATAATGACAGCTCTGAGCGGAGAACATTAGAAGGTTCAAAAAGTAAATTACCATAGAGTTTTAGTCTTGTAGGTATACTGATACATGTAAGCTGGGCTTATAAGAAATTTTTTTTGTTGTTTCAACTATAGGGATATTTTTATAAAAAAATAATAAATTTCTGCTGAAACACTGCACAAAAATTCTACAGATAGTCATTTTGGGGTCACCCTCTCTGACAGTGTCACTTAGTGAAGTCTGTACCCCCTGCACCCCCTTAGTGACGCCACTGTGAAGTTCTGTATATACCCAAGGCTGGTTCACTATTTGCTCATTTAAATTATTTGACTAAATTGAGCAATGGAACAGAAGTAGGGACACAGTAAGATCTTTTTACTGAGAATGATTCATACAGAGCATGCTTTAGAGTGGTAATTTTCAATCATATTTTACTGCAGGGCTCACAGAATTCTTTGTGGGGTAGGGAGCTTAATGTCCTGTCCACTATGCCTCACTGTTGCCCCTCCCCTCTCTTTCCTTCTCCTGTTCCCCAGTCTGCAGTCCTTGAGATTCTAAAGTTGATTGGAATACAGTCTGAGAAATCACTGGTCTACTTTTATCATACAGCACCATTCCCTAGCTTTAGCAGATAAAGAACCTACAGAGCATCTCTATAGCCACACTTTTGAGATCCTGATAGCATTCAGGGGAGCCAGGGATATATTTATTAATCAGCCACTTTTTCCTGAGCTTGTATTTTTCATGTTGTGTAGAACTAGTACAACTTCTTGGAAAATGTTTCTACTGTTTGCCCTTACAAGAGGATTGGAATCCATGACTCTAACTATACACTGATTCTCTTGAGTTGCTTGTGTGTGGTGCTCAGACGCTCAGATGACCCTCCAATGATCCTGCCTCCTTTTATTCATGCCCTTGTGTAATCTCCTCGTCTTGAATGTGGGGACCTGTGACTTGCTTCTAAACACTGGAATTCAGCAATAGTGATGGGCTATTACTTCCATGAATCACTTAAATAAGATTCTGACTTCTATCTTCCTAGCCACCGTCTTCCTGGCTAGCTTTGATGATGGTGTATATTTATGAATAAAGTAATATGGAGCTGCTATATGGAGGGGCCCATGTGGCAAGAAAGTGAGAACAGCCTGTGGCTGACAGGAACAAAGGTCTCAGTGCCACAGCCTAAAAGGAACTGAACTTCCACTCACAGCCAGCTGACCTTGGAAGTGGATCTTTCCCCAGTTGAGTCTTTAGATGAGACTGCCACCTTTGCTACCACCTTGACTGCAGACTTGTGAGAGACCCTGAAGCAGAGGACCCTGCTAAACCATGCCTGGACTCCTGGTCTGCAGAAACTGGGAGATAATAAATGTGTGTTGTTTTAAGCTGCTAAGTTTGTAGTAATTTGTTACTCAACAGCTGATAACTAAGTCTTGTGTATACACACATTTTTGTTTTGATGAAATGGTCAACTAAGACTCTCAATAGGGCAGCCCGAGGCACTATGTGGTTAAGAAG